CAACCTAAAGATTCAGCAAATATAACCGTGCAGCCTGCCAAGAAATGCAGTTCGATTTTCAGGGGCAAAATCGTCCAACTTTTCTGTATAACCTGAAACAGAAAACTTCCAACACGAAAAATGTTAAAAATAATATAAGGAACAAACTGCCTGAAGACAGCTTCCCCAAAATCGGCCCCACGCGCCACCGTTGGAGAAGCCACGCGCCGCTGTTGGAATCACATGCCACACACCCAGAACCGCCTCCACCTGCACGTCTCAACCCTGGTCTCCGTTTCACCAAAAGATGTCTGGATCGCCGGAAAATTGCGTTTGCAGGTGCGGTTTTTGGTGAAAAAACTGGGCAGTCCGATTTTTTGTTTTCTTCCGATTTTCTAGTCCGTTTCTGGTCAGATTTTGGCCGAAAATTCCACCCCAACCTCGCTCTGATACGAAATGTTGAATAATCGACCTCCGATGGTGGATTTTTCGGGCTCAGTTGAACCAATCTCAACCTTATTAAACACACCCAACAATGACTTCAACCCAAACAACGATTCTTACTTCGGTTGCTCAAGTCAATGTGTTCACAAAGAACACAATATGGTGGCTGCAATGAATCACCAAGAATAGAGGAAGACAGATTCAATTTTAGGGCTCAAGAGAGAAAACTAGAGAAAATGTTGGCTGCCTCTTTTCAATTGCAAAACACACGGCTCATTCAACAAATGAAGGGTGTAATAATATAGTGGGCTCATGAACCAACTAATGGTTAAAGGGGGCGGAACACAAATTGAGCCATCCAAGACGTAAATGGGCCGTAAGCAACATTAACTATATTAAGTTGCTTCAAACGACCTTCAAGTTGTTTTTCAAGTTGAGCCAATTAATCGGGTGTGTTAATAAATATTTCAATCATCGGCCGAAGCCTATGAAATCTAATCCAACTATCCGACACTGTTTAACATCATCGCCCGAGATTATTGGGTATCAAAAACCCAACAGTTATTGAAAGGAGAACGGTGATTATGAAAAATATATATATTTTTTTGATAAGTGATTATGACAAATATATATCAAATCCAAAATTTCTCCAGGGAAAATAAAACGAATATTAAGTGTCTGCTTTTGTTAGTTCAAACAAGTCTTTACTGTCATCTTGAAGTCACCCAGCTCTTTTAGGATGCGAATAAGAAGCCACATTGAATAAACTGAACAACAAACTTGATGAAGCATTTTTTTTTCTCTTGTGAAGACTTAATGGTTAAAAACTCTCGATGTAAATGCTGGATATACTCCATCAAAGCATTTACATGCCTGGTTGAAGGTATCATGTACAGAAGCTCTGCATTCCTAAACTAAGGAACAGAGAGGCTTTATTATTAAAATAAGTTACCCATTTTTGCAGGTCAAGAAACACTTGGTCCCTATTGGTGCTTGGCATGAAAAATAAAAAAAGCAGGATGGTAAAATTACGATATCTGATTCTCCTCCTCTGTTATATTTGAAGACAACTGTTAAAAAACATGAGTGAAGATGATAACCAAATTATACTGCATTTTTATATTCGAGTATGACGCGTGAGGTTAAACATGCAGTGCCAAGAAAATTCACTCTATGCTGGAGCAAAGCAAAGGCAAGGGAGCTAATAAAGGTGAGATAGTGCAAAATGCCAGAGGCACAAGCCCATACTATTCTATAAAGGAGCTTTGAGCGAGGGTGCATGCTTCACCCGAAAAAAGGGGGGGTGATACTTGAAATAATCAATAACCTTTCCCAGAGGCGCAGCCAATCTGGATAATATGAGAAAAAAAGGGCAGTGGATTGCAATTCTACAATTGAGGATTTTGTCAATAATCATCCATGCACACACAACTGACACAAGCATGGATTTGTTCTAGTGAAGGAAGTCTCTCTCTTGATTCCTCCCTATTCTGGTTATATGCAAATAAAAGCACTTGCGATACTGGCGCTTGATAAGGGGCAATTTTTTATGTTTTTAGGTATAGTCCAATCCTAATAGTCTGCTACAATCCTGAAACTGAAGAATTCTGGGATGTCTGCTGTGTCATGTCCTGATTTTCAGATGCTTTCTACATGGAGCCTGGAGGTAAATCAAGCTATTTTTTCATGTGCCTAGTTGTATTATTCACTGCTTGAAGCATTTCTTACACACAAATGCTGTTTTAAGTTTCGAGATGCTTATTGGTGTATTCTTTGTATGCTATTAGTTCTCCGCATCTGTATCAGAACCAGTAATTTTGTACACGTGGTCAGTTTTCTAATTGATTTTTGCGGATGAAATAGTGCTTCTCCGGTGACAAAATCTTTCCAAAAAACCATCATATTATCGAACTGCTGAGGTGCCTGATATGTGGTTTTCTCCTCCACTTGTGTGGAAGATAAAAGGGCGCAGACCTCACGGTGTCACCAGTTCATCATCATGCTGCCATTGGTTTGATTCATCCATCTTGTGGCATATCAATCAGATTTCCTAGATTTATTCGCTCCGTATTGGATATAAAAGTCCCGAGGGATGTACCACATCTACAGATGTAGTAGACATTTTCCATTCTCAGACTGGGAAAATGGATGTGAGTGGCAAATAATAAGTATAGATTGTAGTTCAATGTATGAATGTCATTTTACTTTATGTACAGTTTTTGAGAAGCATCCATTTATTTCTCACCATACTTCACCCCCATTTGAGCCTATTAAATTTATAGTACATTTTTCTTTATTCTTTTTAACCACACATTCTCCAATAAATTAATATTACACATAAATCAAAAAAAAATTTCTTCTTTTTCGATCACATTCTCCAAAAAAACAATATCCAAAAATTATAATATCAAATAATGGGCCCAAACGAGGGCGTAATAACATTGAACTCTTTTGGCCAAAGGAGTTTGATTAAGACTCCGTAATCTGTGTACATTATTGTTAAGTCAAAATTGAATTGAATACAAATCGTGTTGATTCAACGAAGGGTGAAATATGTGTAAAATTATTTTCGATAAAAAATAGTACTAAAGTTTGGGATTAAGTTGATGAAACATCGTTAACCTAAGTTGCTAGCTCAGGGATTTCCAAATACGACTCTATTTGGTCATGATATACTAATAGTAAGATTTTTATCAAAATGAGGGAATTTAAAATAAAAATTGGATATCATAATTCACACCATTAAGTAGTTTGACAAGTCAACATTCATGTCACCGTATAAGCGTTTACCATTTTTTCCCTTCTCTTGGCCCGCATAACAGTTATGATTATCAACTATCATTTTGGACCTCATTAAAATCAATTTTTTTTAAATAATCGAATCAAAGTTATCAAACAGAGTTTTGCTCGACTCCTATACCTGCTTTGGTTTGTGAGTAGTTTCGGAATCAATAATGAAAGGGAAGTGTTATATGTACATAATTGTTTACATAATGGTGTCCATATCCAACCTTTAATTCAAATCTCACACTTGCACATTAACAATTAAATGATTGTCACATCACATTGTGGACACTATTATGTACAATAATTATGTAAAAGTAGAATTTTCCATAATGAAATTATACTTCAATAATGTAATACTAAAAAAGGTACATAAAAAATAGAAATACGAAATCATTATAGCTTGTGCGCTATTTGCTCCCTTTCATATTTCAAAAGGGTAATTAGCACAAAACATCCCTACCTTTCGATGTTTTTGTGGAAAATGTCCCTACCTTTCATTTTTTGGTGGATTACACCCTTACCTTTACATTTTTTTGCGCAAAACGTCCTTCTGTCAACTCCCCGTTAAAATGCTCCGTTAAATCAAAAAGGTAATTAGCACAAAAGGTCCTTACCTTTCAAAGTTATTGTGCAAAACGTCCCTACCTTTTATTTTTTAGCATAATTAGCAGACAAGGTTCCTATCTTTCAATATTATTGTGCAAAACGTCCCTACCTTTATTTTTTAGCATTTTCACCCCTACCTTTCACCTTTTATTGCAAAAAAGGTCATTCTCATCCATTTTTTCAATAAAATGACGATTTTACCCTCCTATTCAAATAAAACAAAAAGAAAAGATGAATTACCAACTCCAACCATAATCCTTAAATTTTTAAAAAATTACAAAAAATCATAAATTCTCAACCACCACCATTTTCACAACCTATCAAGCTGCCAACTATAAATCCACATAATACCACCTTTCGGCCACCATGCCCACCGGACTCCACCACCGTAAATGTGGTTGTTTCGGACAGATTGGTGACCAATACTATAGAGGAGGATATTGGGAAGAGTGAGGCGACGCTGGTGGTGGTGGAGTCCTATGTGTTGTGGTCGAAAAGTGGTGCTATATGAATCTATAGGTGGTGGCTTGGTGGGGTTGTGAAAGTGGCGGTAGTGAAGAATTTAGGATTTATCTGTAATGTTTTGAAAGATTTAGAACTATGATTGCAATTAATTAATTATTTTTTTCTTTTCTTTTTGATTTATTTCAATAGGAGGGTAAAATCGTCATTTTATTGGAAAAAAAAAAGATAAAAAGGACCTTTTGCGCAATGAAAGGTGAAATGTAGGGGTAAAAATGCTAAAAATGAAAGGTAGGGACGTTTTGAACAATAATATTGAAAGGTAGGGATCTTTTCTGCTAATTATGCTAAAAAATAAAAGGTAGGGACGTTTTGCACAATAACTTTAAAAGGTAGGGACCTTTTATGCTAATTACCTTTTTGATTTAACGGAGCATTTTAACGGAGAGTTGACATAAGGACGTTTTGCGCAAAAAAATGTAAAGGTAAGGGTGTAATCCACCAAAAAATGAAAGGTAGGGACGTTTTCCACAAAAACATCGAAAGGTAGGGATGTTTTGTGCTAATTACCCATTTCAAAATGTTATTCATGATGATAAATAAATGGGCCGAACAATTTTATATAAATAGGCCCAATTAAAGCAAACTCCCGCCAAATTCCAGAACCGGGTATATCCGGTTGCTATAAATGTAGCCGGTCACTTGTATAAAATCCGCTCTAGGCAGAACACACGCATCACAAGCAAAACGAAAACCCCAAAGGCTAAACATTTCTCGTCCCAATGATTTAATTTTTGTACTTCTTCAGTTTTTTTCTCTTCGAATTCTTCTTCTCATCAATTTTCAAAATTTTCCATTTTATGAACTTCGTGTTTTGTACGATTTCATTCGATTCGTTTCTTAGCAATCCTGTTAGTGCTTCAAATCTCCACAGTCAATCCTGGGATAATGAGTGCAGTTAACATTACTAACGTCGCGGTGTTGGACAATCCGGCGTCGTTTTTAAGCCCCTTCCAGTTCGAAATCTCCTACGAATGTGTTACTCCTCTTAAAGACGGTACTTTCTTGTTTCTCCTATAATCTATATGCTTGGATTGTTTAATTTTGTTTGTTTAATATGTCACGTTTAGTTAAATTCGGAGCCTGTTAGGGTTATTTTATCATTTGAAGGTGAATACTAGGGTTTGTGGATTGGATTTTTGGTTATGTTTGGTGCTTGATGAAATAATTTCCTTTTAATCAGTAAATGACTTGCTAATTTAGCTAAAATAGATTTTGTTTTAAAGTAATAATTTTGGGAAGAACCAAGGTACGTTCTGTGTTCTAGTGCTTTTGATTTTAAATGTAATTTGGAATTTCATTTGAACTTTTGGTGATTTCCTTTGCATTAAGAAAACTTCTCAAGCGTGAAAGGGGGAAAAACCCTGTGGTTCTGAGTATTTCACCTAGTATCGGGACCTTTTGAATGCATAAAATAGATTAATGAATCTATTGAAGGGGCTTTGATGACCATGGCAATTGATTAGGAGATCTTTAGCTAAGTTTTTTAGTTAGAAATTATTTATTGCTCGTGTGATGTGGGATATGTGCAATGGGCCATTGTCACTTGTCAGTAATTTCTTAGTTTTATATGATATTACATTCTTTTATCCTGTATATATTTGAAAAGAGGTTTCACAAAAGTAGGTTTGTGGAAGTGCTAGATCGTAATCATGAAAGTCAACTACTCTGTATTACACGTGTGCACACTAGTTTGATGCAGTAATTACACGGACGGGACATATCATACTTGATTCAGCATAAGATTCCTTAAATAATATAGCTACAAAACCATTAACATTTCCATTCATCAAGGAAAGATCATCTATTTAAAAGCTAACGGGAAAACTAAACAACACGATTGAGAGAGGTCAACTTTACTGGGACTTTACTGTATTAAGAAACGAAAGCATGATAGAGGAAAAGGAAAAATGCGGTTTTGAGGATTAATGAGAGCATCAATTGTAGGAGGCTAAAGGATGTCAATGTATAACTTTATGAAAGTTATCTTTGTCAATTGGTTGTAATAAAGTTTACTAATATAGGAGATATATTTTCTTTCTTTCTTTTTCTTTGACTGACTTAGTTTATTAGTGATTATTTGGTGAGAGAATTGAAACCATTGAGTTGCATGCACTGAAATGAAAAGAGCTAGTTTCTCGTGGAATCAAAACGGATAAACTTAGCCCTGTGTGTGTGGTTATGGGTGAGGGGAGCCATTCTGTGTTCATGTCTGTGCTGGAGTCCAAGCTTGTTTGTTTATGATTTTGACCTCTTATCAGAGGTACAAACAAGCGGCCAAGGCTGCACTGTTCAATATCAGCTTTAGCACTATCTTCTGTCTCTTGTATTTCTAGTGAATTTAGTATATTTATGTTCATTTCCATGAATACTCTTTTATGTTTCAACTTTATAATCTAGCTTTGGTTGGAAAAAGTAATACCATAATTTTCCAGTTTGTAATTTTTGAAATGCATATGCAGATTTGGAATGGAAACTCATTTATGTTGGATCTGCTGAGGATGAAACTTATGACCAACTACTAGAAAGTGTTCTTGTTGGGCCAGTCAATGTGGGAAATTATCGTTTTGTTCTGCAGGTAATACACTAAATTTTCTGAAAAATAATTTTGCAATCGACTGATACTCGTTAGAATTTTACACTTCGTGGGATTGGTGACAGGCAGATGCCCCAGATCCTTCGAAGATCCGCGAAGAAGATATAATTGGCGTGACTGTACTTCTCTTGACCTGCTCTTATATGGGTCAAGAATTTGTTCGGGTGGGCTACTATGTCAACAATGATTATGATGCAGAGCAGCTGAGAGAAGAGCCACCCCAAAAGATCTTGATTGATAGGATTCAAAGGAACATATTAACTGACAAACCCAGGGTAACTAAATTTCCCATTAATTTTCACCCTGAAAACAATGAAAATGGAGACCAAGGCCCTCAACCTGAGAATGATACTGAAGGAGACGGACATGAAGAACAACAACTGCCTTCACCCAATACTCAATCAGACGGGGGTGAACCATAATTCTGATGACTTAATTTTGTCAATTCTTAGGCTTTGTCCTTGAAAATATGTTCGGCTATCATCTTAGGGTCGTCTTCGTTGTGAAAACAGTTCTTTTAGCTCTCAACTTGAATCTTAAATGAAGCAATTCCTGCAAGCTAAATCAAGTCTGAGGTCCATTTTGGGGTCGTTAAACTGGTCCTTTGATACTGCTGTCTGCTGTTCCAAAGTAGGCCTTCAATTGTATTTGGTACTGCAGAAAATACTCATAGCTTCAAACTTTAAGATAACATCATGAAAGACTCCTGTCATAGCGTCTGCATATAATGCCTCTTAGCTTCTTGGGGGAAGAATTCCATATTGTGGCGGTAAAAATTTACATCTAGTTTGAGGCCATTGAAATCTCTTTGCTTGGTTCTGATCAAAACATGGTTTGCACAATTTTCGTTGAGTTATGCAGCTGAACTCTGATCTTGTAGCAATGAAAAGCTCGCTGGAGAGCAGATCTTGATTATAATCAAACCATAAATTCAGCTTAATTTTAAGCGTTATTCAAAGTTAGTATGTGTACATGAATCGCTCAGTTAACGTATCCTTTCATGTGAATCAGTTAGCTAGCCTGGGAGGATCATATTACAAAACTTGTTTGCGTTGACAAGGAAATAAAAACCATGTATGAAAACTGCTTTTCCTGTGTCTACAATTTTTCTTTTTCCTACAGTATACGTGGTTGAGCCCAAATTGGAAATATGTCTCGACTGCTATCATTGATTTATAGCCATTTTGGATCTTCATTCTAGCCTTGAAGACAATAACTGAAAGATTATTGTTTTCTAAAACCGTCATTTTTCCTCGTCTTCCTTCCCTGGTTCTTTCTCGAACTTCCTTTCTCCAACCTTGATGCTTCCTTGCAGTTCACAAAAGTTAAGCCCTATTTGGCATAGTTTTTTGTATGGAAATATCAGATCGAGAAGGTAGCAAGATGCATGTTACCTTCCTTAAATCTTTTCTGCTGTTTCCGTTCTCCTTTGACTTTCTTCTTGAACTTGGTTGGCTTCTACGATGTCATGAAGAATCAAATTTAATGAGGTCAAGTAGTTTAACGTGAAACTTATCCATTCAACATTTTAGTGAGCTCCCAGAAGCAGGGTAACATACCTCTCCTTCTCCTGAAACTGATGCATCATGCATCTCAGAATGAGTCTCTCCCCTCAATCTGTCCATCACTGTTGAACATAAGCTTAAGCCTTCCCTTCTCTTAGTAATTTTTCAGAAAGGGCATGTCTCTGTGAAGGACATGAAGCAAAGTTTCTGTAGGAGAAGTCAAACATGTGCTAGATACTTTTAATAGAATAGAGAGGCAAGATAAGCAATTGCAGTCACTAAAGGCTCCAGAGCTTTTTAGTGACAAAAAAGTATCTCCCAAATACAATCTGCTACTTGTGTAAACAGATGTAAGTTTAAAACGATTAAAGCGCGATATTCAAATATTGGTTCATTGTCTTAATGAGAATGAAAAAGGGGAACATGATTATTGTTGCTTATTTACGACTATGCACTGTGGATGTAATATAGTAGACACAACAAAAGTTGGGAATCTTAATTCGCAAAACTCCTAAAATATGTTGAAAAAGAAATGAAATCACAAAGACATATTCAAATAAACAAAAGGATTATTTTGGATAAAAAGCACGGAAAGTGAGTTTTAGCCATTCAATTTTTTTTCTTGTTAGTCAATCATGGGCAGAAGTATGTATCCTCCAGCAATCTCCATATATACATAATTCGTAAGGGAGATGCATGATAAATATTATCAGATATTGCATTAAAAACAAAATGCACACCAAGTGAATACTCGCCTTGGAGGTGAGATGCGCCTTGAGAGTTTCCTCTGACAAGCATACGATCCTAGGGCACAGCCTGCACTTGAAAACTGATTTCAATTTTAAGATACAGTCTGCTGCATCCAATGGGATTTCATCCTTTTTATTACCATGCTCGTTATTGACAGGTTCAGAATTGCCTTCGCCATTTGGATGACTTTCAGTGATGATTTGCGTGATTTCGAGTTGTATTATCCTCATCACTAGTTGGTAAACATGCAAAAATTAATGTCATTGAACAATAAGATGGAATTAGTATTGATTCAAGCAGAATATGGTTCAAGTTGAACTTACATTCAACAAATCCAAAATCCTGCACAAAATTTCTATACAAATGGCTTTCTGTTTTTGATTCAAAGACTGGCCACTAACACCTCTTGATATGAACAGAACGGAAGATACCAGAGAAAAGAGTAATGACTAAAGAGCTCAATAACCTTGGACAAAGAAGTTGAGAAGGACAGGGACCAAGTTCAATCTAGAAAGATTGGATTGAAAACTGATTTTTTGGATTGACAGTCGGAACTTTCTGACCAGGAGTTAGCCTATTCTGGATTTGATGTGTATAATTGTTATTTTCATCACGAGAGGAGAACAGAAGTACGAATTAAGCTTTTCTACCATCACATAAACAGCATTCGCAATACATACACAAAAAGCAAAAACCATAATAATTGAAGTAGTTCAGTGCTCAAAACTCTGCACTATGTAATGAAGATAATGCAAAGACAAAGAACTGTAAACTAATTGAGGTAGTTCAGTGCTCAAAACTCTGCACTATGTAATAAAGATAGTGCAAAGACTGAGCACTGTAAACTAATATATTCAAGAAAACAAGAATAAAAAAATGGCCCATTCATTCATGCCAACAAATTTGCATTAGTGTATTTACCAATCCTATATTTACCCTAAATGCTCATAGATATCTCAAGAACTCGATTTTATAAAGAGCGAGATTAAATACCTAATGAATCAAGATTTTCATTTACTGAACTACCCTCCCGTTCATAACCTGAAAGAGCAAGAGAAGGAAAACCAATACACTGTAAATATAATCTATGAATTAAGTCATGCGGAAATTCAAAAACCAATCAATCTGAATTTCAGCAATTGTCAAGAAAAATAATTTAATCAACGAACATGCAGTACAACACTAAATGCTCATAGAACACTGCCAAGAAACAGATACTCAATACCGTATGAGTAATTATGAATCAGTTCTAACTGCAGGGAAATCAATATTTTACGTAAAGAAGCTACCTTTGAAGTTTCATCTCAAGAAATATGCAAAACACAGTGTTCTTAAAAATTTGACAATGCATAACTGCTAACTTATGAATACCAGAAGAAGAGGAAGCTTCGTTGTCCTTTCTCACTTCTGCAACCTCATTTTCTTCTTCATCTTCTGTTTCATCTGCCTCCACTTTGGAGACAGAAGAAGATGAATAATCATCAGAAGAAGCATCTCTGTCACCATGTTCAAGCCTGTAAAATCGACTTTTAATCATTTGCTTTTGTCTCTTTTTCTCAACTGCAACAAATGAAGAAAATCAATAAAGCCAAAGTAATGAAGCAAATGATTGAAGAATAAAATGTCGATACAGTTACATGTATTCTCGGCTGCTAAAATTTCCGCTTCTTTTTAATTATAAGCATTTTTAAACCCAGCAGAATAAATGGCTAATGGATAAGCTAAAGAAATAAGAATTAGTGTTGATTTGAAATAATCTATCGTTGTTTGATTTTCTCGCTTTTACTACAATTGATAGCAGTAGTTTTCTGAATAGAGTTGAAACGGGAAAAATCAAACCAACCCTCAATTGCTTCGCCAAAACAAATGAATCCCAAAAATTGAAGGAGCAATTTGTATGAACAAATACGTGTATACTCACAACAAGCGTCGATATATGTATTTAAAGAAAAGCTAAAGTGCGTACAGAGAGAAAGATAAGGCGAATGAGACGACGACGACCGGAAGGAATGAAACGGCTGATTGTAATACGAGAAGGGTGTTGCAGGAAGTATGCCAAAACTTTGTGTTTTCATGAACTTACTGTTTAGCCCTGTTAAAGTTTTAAGGCATCTTCCCTCTCCAATCACATGTTTTTCAATAAATATAATATTACATATAAATAATAAAAATTTTCTTTTTTTAACCACACATCCTTTAAAAAATTACTATTCAAAAATACATTTTTTGCAAATGGAAAAAAATTAATACATAAGAGACACATTTCAAAACTTCAAAAATCAGATTTTTAAAATTTTATTTGTAAAATAATTAATTAAATATATTAAGATCACAGTTCTATACAATTTAATTACAAATTATTAAATTAATGGATCACAAATTATTTCTCAATGACAATAAATTTTTTTATAAATCAATATGTATTTCAAGATCGCAAATCAAAAATTTCATAGGTTACAATTTAGTCATCGATCACAAATTTATCAAATAATAAGTCATATATTATTCATTTGTTTCAAATAACAATTTTTACAAGTCACGACTTATTTCATGATCACAAAATATTAATTAATTAGTTAAAAATTATTTTTCGATCACAATTTATCAAATTATTGGTCACAAAATAACAATTTTTTCTGTCACGTGTTATTTATTAGTCACGAGCTATATATTTCATTAGCTACATATTATTTTTTTGATCACACATTAATCCATTTATTGGTCACAATTAACCAAATAATTTGTGATCACCGTCGCCCCACCACCACCATCATTAATACCGCCTCACCAGCATTGCCATCTGTGACAATGACCACAATCATAACATCATTAGAGCCATTACTTCACCAACAACCAGCGCCACCACTACCTCACCGCTAACAAAATCAAATCCAAAGCTGCCAACACCCCACACCTCCATAACGTCACCGCTATTGTCGTTGCCTCCACCATCGCTGCCATTACGACCACCACAACCACCATTTCCAACCAACACTCCTTCACAGACTTGTCAACAACCAACACCTCACCACCACCACCACCAAACTGCTATTTTCAACTACAAAACAACCACTAGTGTCGACGCCAACACCTACACCACCATCGCTACCATCTCACCATCAACATCATGGCCAGTAGCAGCACCACCACCTCTTGTACCAAAAATCACAACCACCATCTCCATCACACCACAATCGCCACACCTACTAAAAAAAATCCCTAAATTCGATGCTACCATCGCCACCATTGCATCACTACCACCACCTTGTGAACAATCACCACCACAACCTTCTCAAATCCATAGCGAAAAGTAGTCTAACAACCGCAGAGCCACTGCAGACATAGCAGCACGGTGTCGTGCTCGACTTGACTACAAGAGGAACAAACCAGCGTCGAAATAGAGATGATGGGAAGGTAGAGAGGTGAGACCTCGAAATTTAAAGGATCGAGAAGTAGAGAGAGGGAATCGGCACCAAGTGTGTAGAGAGGGATAAAGAAAGAATGTGGAGTTGTTTTTCTCAAACCACACTTTCATAAGTGAAAATGCGATTTGTCCCATTTGTACTCCCATGGATAGTTGGCACTTGGGCATTGGCTAATAGATGGTCACTCGAGTTGTGCTTTTTCTTGGCTATTGTGGACCGTTGATCTAATCCTAAGGTTGAGATTTAGTCTTCCATTATTAATGCCTTTGGAGACTTTTGAGGCATTGAGTCTTCAATCAGTCGGTCACTTTTGAAGAATAGTCTCTTGGGTTTTCTGTAATATTCCGAAATTTTATAGAATGGAATTTGATTTATGTATGCTAAGTTTTAATACTTTAAAAGTTTAGGACTAAACTATATACAAAGTAAAATTAAATTTTATTCGGGTTAAAATGTAGATGTTGACGGAGCAACAATAAGCATATGAATGTTGGGCTCCTTGGATAAGTCGTAATTAAAGATGCATATTAAGCTCGAGAAAAAGTTGATTTGAATTAAAGGAGCTTAAATTATTGAGGTCGAAAGATTTAGCCTTAAAATATTATTATGATTATTCTTATTATTATTTGAGTTTGTAGTTGTGCAAGATTTTTGGTTAGTGAGTGATTGATTTTTTTTTGATTTTTTTTTTTGTTAAATATAGATATTAAAAAAAAAGGAAAAAAGAAAAGAGAAGATGAGACTTAGCCACGTGAGCGAGAGAGAGAGAGAGATGGGAAGATGTAAGTAGTGGTTGGAACTGATTCTTTTCATTTTTTAATTAGCACTTTGAACTAATGGGAGGCCACCACGTGTGCTGATTTTAAGTGAAAGGACTTAGTCAAATATCTTGTTTCAAAATTTCGTTTCTCTATTTTTATCCACAATTACATCCCACTTCTACACGTTTCCCCCACAATACACAAAAGGAAATTAAGGTATAATTACCTATAGTCTATGTATACAGATGCAATACATGAAAAAAGGGACACACAAAAAATAAAAATAAAAATAGTTGTACACGACTCATAATACAAAAGAGGCAGAAAAAGAAAGGAGAAAGGAACGTGATTTTCATTTTTCTCTTCAGATTAAAGCAGTATAACAAGGTAGGATATGATGTGCAGTATTTTTCTTTGTCCCGTTTAATTATTTTTTTCACATGTTGACGAATTTTATACTCATGAAAGTTAAAGTTATGATATGAATGCTATGATATGAATAATATGGTCATTCCGGCACAATGAAATGTTATGATGTGAGTTCTTACCGGATTTTAAACTTATGCGACGGTATGATTTTCTGACACATGTTTCCAAATTATTATTTGGGATCACACCATTAATTTTCATATCCTACTGAGTATTCCCAGGTACTTACCCTTTTCCCTACACTTCACAGGTTAGATCGAGTCGTGACAGAGCGTGGTGGTTCGATGGCGTTGTTGAGTTTCGATTCGCTGGATAAAGAACTAAATTAGCACGTAATTTTTATTTATTTTAAGTTATTGCAGTGGACATTTAGTTATAAATAAATTTTCGTACATGCTTAATTGTAGATGAACATATATAGTCTGCACTTTAAATAAAGTTCGAATTGGATGTTATATTTTTCTACAGATTTCACTGATGAAAAATAATTGAATGTGTCCGATTGTGGTGGAAAATAGGTCATATAATCGTATCCATATATTTATTTATTCTACCAAAATTTTCTTCCACCAGATCCGACAATTTGCCTTTGTTTTCAGTAGTTGATTTACGAAGATTTGGCTTTTCCATGAATGTTAGAATTAAATATTATTTCATTCACCAATTTCACTATATATATATGGAACATGTCTTTACTGTGATATTGTCAGAGTAAATAAAATTGACCGTTGGTAATTCCATGGTCATGCTCTGTAATAATGTCCCATAAATTTCTTCAATAAAATAAGGGAGACTTTGGTAGCATTCTTGTCTCCTTTGGAGACGTGTCCCATACTTCGAGGAAAGAGAAAAGTATAGTATGCTTGATGTTAGAGTTGTCTTGTCCTATATACGGTATTCATTACTACATGTGCATGCTTTTGTATGTAAAAGTCAATTGACAAACTATTTCACACGTTTAAAGAATGGCGCAGAAAAAATATTATTTCTTTCCTATGATTAATTAAGATATATTTCTTTTTCTACAAATTTGAGTAAATTACCCTTTTCGAAATTATATATATATTATGGCATGCCACGTTGTTATATAAAAAATTTTAATATGAAAATTTGGTAGCAATTCAAAACCTTTTAAAAATTTTGGGTCGTTTCATTTTCTCTCTCGTTCTATCACCTATGTTCTTCTTTTCTTCTTAAATTTGGAGATCTTTGGTGGTTTTGTAATAATCTTTGTAGTTATTTGATGATAGTAGAACGTTTGTACAGTGTTTTAGGCCTTGATTGTGGCTGGTAAACCTGTATTGTGTTCTTGACAAGGTTCTGTCTAGTCTTGTGGCTAGGGTTCGAGTTATTGAGAGATCCTTGTGAATTGATGACCATATAAAGGGTCTAATTTGGTTTTCTCAACGGTATGTACAATCTCTTGAAGGCTTTTTGATAGTGACGAGCTTACCTTTGAGCCTTCCAGATTAGGTCGTGTTTGACTAAATTTGGTGAACAATATGTGTGTTCGATTTCTATTCTTGCTTTGTTTTTTTTTTTTTTTTTACTATATTACGATTGCTTGTGGGGTTTGGGTTGAAAATCCTTACAGAGAAGATGGAGAGAAAAGAGATAAGGAAATAAATTTGGGCTTGGGTGTAAAATTGGTATGGGATAGACGGGGTGGGGTGGATACGGGTGTAATTTCCACTTTCCAAAATCCCATTATAATGAGGGCCAAACAAGGGCTTAATTTGATCCTCAAAGTTTAGGCACAACTTTTAATTGACACCAAATTTAAAAGAAAATTTTCAGATTGACCCATTGGTATATAATTAGGGAATTACGTGGAGCTCCCTAAATTTTGATGACATATCAAATGTACCCAAATTACACGGTTTAAATTCTAGATGACGTGATTATTATTTTAGGTCGGACATGAATAAATTGGAATTACATGCAGTAACCACACACAAATAAATGTAAGAAAAAAGTATTGTTCCAAAAAAAGAACTCAATTGTTAGTAACAAATTTACCGCAGAGATACTTACAAGTAAACAATGTTAAAAAATGGACATGATACCTAGCGAAAATATATGGTAAAACTAAATCTAAAACTTTAGATGTAAGTTATGTAAATACAATATGTTTCGTGTAATCAAGTGGAGAAATTGGAGATAAGATTAGTATATTTTTTAATTATTCCAAAAAAAAAAAATGCAGAAAATTTCTTGGCATCACACACTATTTTTAGTATTTTATATTAATTGTACATGAATTACAAGTTTTAAAGCTCCAATTTATTTAATTACTTAAATAATATTTAAATATTTTAGCCAATAAATGATATTATTTAAATTTTATTTGAAAAAAGATGGCAAAAACAATAAATACTTGTTGGAAAAAAAAAATAATAATAATGTCACGTGTTGCTTAGATTTGAAATTTTTATAGTATAGTAAAGATAGTTTCAGGCACAATTATTCTTGTTTCCAAATCATTATGCCTAATGAGTTAAGAGGCCGACACTATGTCTTGGACCAATATTAAGCAACGTACCCGATACACTTGCTATCATTAGTCACACAAAACTGAAGAATTAAGTTATGAAGATCGATATGTAATAAAGAATATGATTGAAACCAAAATTCTTTGAACACCTTTAAGAATGCGTTAGATTGTCAATATTTTTCATGAAAATTTTGATTTTTTTCACAAGGAATTCACTCTCTCTTTCTCTCTCTCATCTGTCAATTCTCTCTCATTTACCCATCAATAAAAATTGGACAAGTATAATATTTTCTAAATTGAAAATGAAATTAATCAAATATATTTAATTGATAATTTTCATACAAATAAGTTTTAGGTTACCTATAATTTATTTTCATTTCATGCAAATTCAAAACTGGCAATCAAACACACCTTAATTGTTACTTTCCAATTTATTTATAAATGAATAATCAGTTTTTATGAACTTGAATTTATCATCCCTCTCGGAGAATAAGCCCCTCTCAAATTTAAGGGCCTGAAATTGCCAACAACTCAATTCTCTCTTAGACTAAGATTGACACCAAATCCAACAAGGACTGCGCTATTTCACACACTTGTTGACGCATACATTATTGTTAAAAAAATTATTGGATGAAAAAATATTTTTTTTTTTAAGCTATCAGATAAAAGAATACAATGTGTCTCACTCATAGAATGTACATCAAGATATATACGTTAGACCCGTCTTTGGAGTCCAAAACAAATTTTGTTTTGTTCATTAGTACTATTTCGGCACGAGGCGCTAGACGAAACCAAATTGCCAACCTAGGGCTAGAAGCCTCCTTCTTGCCCATCCCATCGGATTTATCTCTATTTGGGGCAGATATTTTAGCAAACACCCTCTATATAAAAATTGCAGCAATTAACATGGCGGACGCCGATCAAGAAAGGTCAGAATCATCGATGGTTGACGGGAACACTTTGGTGGCCATGTGCCTGGCGCGTGCCGGCGTGGATAGGATGTTTGGGGTCGTGGGTATCCCGGTTACATCCCTCGCGAATAGCGCCGTAGCTTTAGGGGTCCGGTTTATTGCATTTCACAATGAGCAGTCGGCGGGATATGCCGCCTCCGTCTATGGGTATCTCACCGGCCGCCCTGGGTTGCTCCTCACTGTCTCGGGCCCTGGTTGTGTCCACGGCCTAGCTGGACTTTCCAACGCAGCCGCTAATGCCTGGCCTATGGTCTTGATTTCCGGATCCTCCGATCAGAGTTTCACAGGTCGTGGCGACTTCCAAGAGCTCGATCAAATTGAGGCAGTAAAACCCTTCTCCAAATTCTCTGCTAAAGCTACCGATATCAGTCGAATTCCCGCCTCTGTTTTCAGCGTCATTGATTGGGCAGTTGCAGGCAGGCCCGGTGGGACTTATTTGGACCTCCCGACCGATGTTCTTCGCAAAACAGTTTCGGAATCTGAGGCCGACAGATTAATTATCCAAGCTGAGAACGAAAGAAACAAAGAACTAATTGAAAAGCCAAGAATCAATTATTCAGAAATCCAAACGGCAGTTGAGTTGTTAAGGAAAGCTCAGAGACCTTTGATTGTGTTTGGAAAGGGTGCGGCTTTTGCTAGAGCTGAAAATGCATTGAGGAAACTGGTGGAGAGCACTGGAATTCCATTTTTGCCTACTCCCATGGGAAAGGGGTTACTGTCCGACACGCACGAGCTAGCAGCCACGGCTGCCAGGTCACTAGCTATCGGAAAATGTGATGTGGCATTGGTGATTGGTGCTCGGCTTAACTGGTTGTTGCATTTTGGGGAGCCGCCCAAGTGGTCAAAGGATGTGAAGTTTATACTTGTTGATGTATGTAAAGAAGAAATTGAGTTGAGAAAGCCATCTTTGGGGATAGTGGGGGATGCAAAAGATGCAGTGGAGAAATTACATAAGGAGATTAAGGATGATCCATTTTGTTTGGGGAAGACTCACCCTTGGGTTGAGGCGATAAAGAATAAAGTTAAGGAGAATGTGGCAAAAATGGAGGTGCAGCTGGCAAAGGAGATAGTGCCCTTCAATTTTCTGACGCCAATGAAGATAATTAGGAATGCCATTTTGGAGATGGGCAGTCCTGCTCCCATTCTAGTTTCTGAAGGAGCTAACACGATGGATGTTGGCCGCTCTGTACTGGTTCAGACGGAGCCCAGGACTAGGTTGGATGCCGGGACTTGGGGGACAATGGGAGTTGGTCTTGGATATTGCATTGCTGCGGCAGTGGCATCACCTGATCGGCTAGTTGTTGCTGTTGAAGGTGACTCGGGATTCGGGTTCAGTGCGATGGAAGTCGAGGTATGTAGCATTCATTGCGATGGTGTTCATTGTTTTCTTATCATTGCTGCATTTACTGTGTTCTATACTATTCAATAGCAATACTATGTTTTTGGTTACTTGACTTATACAGCGTGTGCATTTTGTTCTTCAGCGCTTTACTGCCATCATTTGCAATGATGTTCTTTTTGATGGTGAACAGGAATTGTCAAGGAAATAACTGCGTAGTCTTTTCTCTTTTAACTTATATTGCATTCTTTCTTCCTCTTCCAGTGCATTTCCTCCCCATTTGAAACACTTCTGTGTAACATTTTCTCTATATGCCCGAAGTCAGAGAGTTAGAGATTGTTCCTGGTGTAATAATTTTCTAATGTCCCATAATTTATGTTGCTCTTTTTCAAAAAAACCCTTTCCTTATTTCTGACTGCAAAGATTCATTTTTTTTTTTTTAACCAAGTTACTTACCTGGGATTATAGTAATTTGAAGCTTCTCTAGTCCTTGGTCCAAGGATTTGAATCATTAGTTCTTGAATGCCGTTGATTATTAACATTTCTTATATATATTCTCCGCACACTGTTAGTTTTTGTTTTCCAGGTGCTACATTTTCAGCTTTTGTTACTTCATTTTTGCTTGATTATTCCTGTTTTGTTTATTGCTCATTTATTTCGGTCTATCTTCTCTTTTAACTGTAATTCAATAATTAAGTCGTCATTTTAACTCGATTCTTGATTTAGATTATATTTCTTCAGATTCATAAAAGTGTTGAAGTTGTGGATCTTATTTTACGAGGCATAGCTATCATCTTGAATAAAAATATATTACTCATACATAGATGTACGAAATTCTCTCAATCATCTTTAGTTCTGTTCGTATTTAATTTGGAAGCTCATTTCATTGTGATCGCTCAGTTTATCTCCATTATCCCATTTCAATGTTTTCCTTTTCCCTATCTTTAGTTATGCCTCCTGTTCCCTTTTCAAGGCTGAAATAGTAGAGCTATTTATTTTGTGCCTATCCAGCTTGAACAAATTGCATTTATGCATCTTGTTTGCTTTCAAGGGTGAAATTTAATAGCTATTTATGTTGTGCCTACGCCGGGAATCATGGCATAACTTATTTCCTTCATGTATGTGTGCGCAATTGGTGTCGTAGGTTTGGTGGGGGCAATGACCTTTCTTGGGCCTTACCCAAGTCTGACCCTGGTTTTGGCCTCTTCTTTCATTGAAATAGCGATCCATTTCTTTGATTCAAACTTTTTCAAAATAGCATGCTCCACTATATACCATCTTGAGCGGAATGTAACTTCCCTGCCATAATATGCTTGTTTGTACTTTTGCAGACGTTGGTTCGATATCAGTTGCCTGTGGTGGTTATAGTCTTCAACAATGGTGGAGTTTATGGTGGTGACAGGAGGAACCCCGATGAAATAACAGGTCCTTACAAGGACGACCCGGCGCCTACTTCTTTCGTCCCTGGTGCAGCATATCATGTTCTCGTTGAAGCTTTTGGAGGAAAGGGTTATCTTGCTGGGACTCCAGCTGAACTAAAATCAGCACTTGCCGAATCTTTTTCAGCATGGAAACCTACTGTCATAAATGTTACAATCGATCCATATGCTGGTGCAGAAAGTGGAAGACTTCAGCACAAAAATTGAGGTCTGTGTGCAGTTAGTTTATGCACAGGGAATGTTCAAATTCACAGTTTTCTCTGAGGTTGTAGCCGGTATTTCTTGATATCCTAGCACATTGGTATCTTCAATGATAGTGTATTTTAGTTGCTGCCGCAGCATACGGGTACTTTTGTAACTTTACTTTGAACCTTGTTTTTTTTCCCCACAATTGTATTTTATTTTAATTTTTAATTTTAAATCTACAAATGCCACTGTCATTATCACAGCCGCCACTACTTAAAAAAAAAGGTTGAACCCCAATCTTAAGGGCCTCCCATCGCCCCTGTCCTGGAGCATCGTAAGGGAGGTAAATCGCAGGTTATGCCTCCAAGGGTATAGGGTGGAAGGCTGCTTGTGCACTTGCACTTACCCAAGAGCCAAATCCATATTTCAGGATTCGAACCCTTGACACAGCAATTTCAAGTAAAACTGGATTTCTCCACCCTCCCCTTTTACCACTTGGAGATGTGTCTTGGGGGCCACAGTTGCCACTACTTGTAACACTGTGTGGTTGTCCAATTGGTGGACTATTAATGTTAATGTATTTGTGTTACAGTTTGTGTTCGTGTTTGAGTGATTAAATAAATGAATAATGCTACTTGTATATCAAATAGTGTCCACCTCCTTCACATGGAGGGGAGAAATCACTTCAACTAAATTATATCACTTCCTTCACATGGAGGGAGATCCACTTCAGATAAATCATATTTCATTCAAAGTAGATCTCTGTCCATGTGAGGGTATGGACATGTCGATGTACATATGAAATCACCTTAAAAAAAAATTTATGATGAATAAAAAAGTAAAAACAGTATATTTGAAATTTTAAGGGTAATAAAAATTTCTAGCATAATTATTCTTATCTCCTAATCATAATGCCTAATGAGTAAAGAGGCCATGCATAATGAGCTCAATAAGCTACCTGAAGGTTGGACCAATGATGGGCTGAAGCACTAATCATGAAAAGGCCTGGACAATTAAGCATGTGTTGAACATATCAGAAGGAATTAAGCAAAAGTGATCGAATTAGTTGACATAATGGTTGATAGACCCTCACATTTTGAGCACGGGTCCCGCGTGCCGACCTCTCCATGCGTGTGTTCGGTCATCCCCTATGTTAGTTTAGCAAAACCCTATTAAAAGATGGTAATCTTTCTGGAGTATGGCAAGCATCAACCAATAATTAAATTTTTAGGACAATTCACAAATACCTTTAAAAAATTTACACTTTGCGTAATTACTTTAATTTTTTTTTTCTCAAAATACTGTTTTTTATTGCCTTTTTATTTTAATCTTTTGCAATGATTTTGAAACACAATATTACATTTTTTATGATTATATTATACACATTTCACCATTTGATTTTAGCGAAGTTTCATCAAACGTGCACTAACAATTGAAGGTGATAATAATCCGAGTTTTGCTACGATTAAAGGATTACGATGCCCCTAAACCTGTCTAACCACCAAACTGGCTAGCAAGTCTGCAAGTATTTTTAAATCCATTTCGTGTTAGATATTTGTCCAAGTGGCGGAAAGCATAGAATTTGTGTAGGAGGATGAGGGTTCGGATCACATCCAACAATATTTAAATAATTATTTGTTTCATTTTATATTGAACATTTTGGAATTATTTAATGGGTCAAACTATCTAGTATAATATGACCATTTTCTAACATGTAACAACTTACTATTAACAATCCATTACCCACTAGTCAGTAAATGTTGCAAATATTTCTGAATCATGGTAGAAGCGATTATATCCATTTTACCTATATATACACCCATCTGGTTTTTGAAAGTTACATCAAAAAACGATATTATAAATATTCATCTTCTGAAATTTTTATATTCAAGTTTTACATATTTTCTGAAGTATAGTTGAGAGTTTTGAGAAATCATTCGTGTTCACTGCACAAGTGGTTTGTGATCTCTGTATCTTGGGAGTGATTGTTCACAGAAGTCACAGTAGTTATTTACAGACAATTTCATTTTAAGACATCGTACTGTCACGAGACTCGATCAATCTTTAAGTTTTATTTCTGCATTTTACTGTTCTACAAGTTACCATAACTAGTTATCTTTCCAACATTCCGTACTATTTGTTTAATGACAAAATATGAGTCTTTTCCTCAATTATTTTATTAGCAGAACTTATTTTTCGAATTGCAGACACGTTCATACATAACTAATAGAGAGCAAGAGCTCTAGAATCTGGAGATATTTTGCCTGCAAAATGGATATTTTCGTATAAGATTTTAAGTTCTGTTCTTTATGATGGATTATGATTCCTCCTCTTGTTTTATCATACTGTAACTTTATCTTATTCAAAATGAAACACAGTTGTCGTAAATGGTCAACGACGAGCAAGAACCGAAAAAGATCACCCTTGAAAGGATTATGATTGCTAATTTGTCATGCCTAATGTATAAAAATAAATGCAAATACAAAGAGTTGGATTTAAATAATCACATTCACATGAATAGTCCACAGCAAGTTTCTATTTAATTTTTGCAAATTGTGATTTGTGCCATTGACCTAATCAAGATCTCACTGAACGCAAGTCATTTTATCAGTCTTGTTATACCTGTTTATATATTCAGTTTGAAGCTAAATTAATTATAATCACTTTAAATCTAGTTGATTAATTAAGTTTCATGGAGAAGCAAAGCATAGAAGAAGGGGTGTTGCCAGATAGGGAAGGAGGGAAATGGAACACAAAGATGAGTGTTTTTGTACAAGAACTGAAGAAGGTGAGCCATATAGCAGCACCAATGGTGACAGTTACATTGTTGCAATACATGTTACAGGTTGTATCGATAATGATGGTCGGACATCTTGGTCAGCTCGCGCTATCCAGTGTCGCCATTGCCACCTCTCTAACTAATGTCACCGGCTTCAGTCTTCTGGTAAGTCTAATAAAATATACCTCGTATAGTTTTGAGCATTTTTGCGTTTATTAATTGATTTACATTTTGCTGATGCCAAATAGTCAGGGCTGGTTGGTGGTTTGGAGACTCTTTGTGGGCAGGCTTATGGTGCGAAACAATACCGCAAGCTTGGTGTCTATACCTATACTGCAATAATCTCACTGATTATGGTTTGCACACCGGTATGTGTACTGTGGATTTTCATGGACAAACTGCTTATTTTGATGAAACAAGACCCTTCAATCTCAGGCGAAGCGTGCAAGTATTCAATATGGCTCATCCCAGCGTTGCTTGGGGCTGCAATTTCTAAACCTCTAGTAAGATACCTGCAGACTCAGAGCCTGATTTTACCAATGCTTATAAGCTCCTTTGCTGTACTATTTTGCCACATATTTGCGAGTTGGGCTCTGATATATAAGTTAGACCTGGGAACTGTTGGTGCAGCCGTGGCCTTCTGTCTGTCAAATTGGTTATATGTTGTTCTGCTTTCATTTTACGTCAAATTTTCGACATCATGTAAGAACACCCGCGTGCCTTTCTCAGTCGAGGCCTTTCATAATATTGGGATATTCTTTCGCCTAGCAGTTCCTTCTGCTGTGATGGTTTGGTAATTTCTTCTTTATTTTCAGTTTTTTAGTTAAAGATACGCTGAATTCCTCGGCTATATTTCCTGATCGCGTTATGATTGTAGTCTTAAATGGTGGTCCCTTGAAGTGCTTATTCTGCTGTCAGGCCTTTTACCAAATCCAAAGCTTGAAACATCAGTACTCTCAATATGGTAATGCAAAGAATCCATCGACTCCCTTATTTCATGAATTATGAGTTAACAGAAATAATGTTCTGGACTTAATTCATCTTCATAACCAGCCTAACAATCTCAACATTGCACTTCACTATTCCATACGGGTTAGGAGCTGCAGCAAGGTAATCCATTACAATATTATCAATAATTCCAAGTCTCAGTACCAAGATGCGCGATTTATGGATGCTAATACAGGCTTGATTATCATCTAGTACTCGTGTTTCAAACGAATTAGGAGCCGGGAATCCACAAAAGGCACGAGTGGCAGTTTCTGTTGTCATGTTTCTGGCTGTCGTAGAAACACTTACAGTAAGCATATGTCTCTTCTTCTTCCGCCACATTTTAGGTCGCGCTTATAGCAACGAGAAGCAAGTGGTAGATTATATTGGTGCCATGATTCCCTTTATTTGCCTCTCAGTAGTTACGGATAGCCTACAAGCTGTTATCTCAGGTCAGGATAGCAAATTTCTTACACAAATACCTCAAAATTTCGAGTATCTTGTGATGCAAGTTTTACATCAGGAATTGCAAGGGGAAGTGGATGGCAACATATTGGGGCTTATATCAACTTAGGGGCGTTTTATATAGTTGGAATTCCTGTAGCTGTGGTATTAGGTTTTAATCTTCATTTAAAAGCAAAGGGATTTTGGATTGGAATCGTTATTGGTTCAGTACTGCAATCAACTATCCTTTCCCTTGTTACAGCCTTCACAGATTGGCAAAATCAGGTGAATATCCCTTTCTGGACTCGTATTTGAATAGTTGTTTATGATTTACTTGCTCGTTTAGGGATTAGGGGCGGAGTCCAGTTTGAACTAAAAAATCTTTTATACTTGTATAAAATGAACCCAGCACTAAATCCGCCCCTGTTTCATGATGATATCTTTTCAACTATGGGTGAATTTGAATTTTGGCATTGGTTCTGCAGGCAATTAAGGCAAGGGAAAGGTTATCAGAAGGCATTGCCAGTGGAAGAGAGTGATAAAAAGAATTATGTGACAAGAAAATTTATACTCTATTTTTGTTTTTCTATTTTGCATTTTTTTTTCTTGGGGGCTTCCAGTAATATTTTTCATATCAGGCAACACAGAAATTGAACGAATTAGTTTCATGTTGGCAACAATCTTTTGATAATTAAGAAATCAATGTATTGATAATTTTCTAAATAGGCACAAATTGGACTAGTTGACAATTAATTAATGCACGTTCTTCACTATTTGTGTCTATTGAAGATTAACTTTTTGTGTCGATGGAAGATTTTCTTGAGGAAATTAGACACAGTAACCTTAAAAAAAAAAAGAATTGCTTAATACACTTATATCAAACTAAAGTTTTAATAACCATACTAATTACGTCAATTAAAAACATGAAACATTTGAAAGTCAGCAAAATCTATTAGAAATTCCAACAGATTTGGCTGAAATTTCCAGACAAGTAGTAGGCTGCCCACGCAATCAAAAAGGCCGGAAATGCCACTTCCGACGACATCCATCACCTGCCCATCCTCCAGCTTGACCATGCTCATCATTACGCACCAACAGATGTGAATATAACAGCAAGCAATGCAAAAATCTAATTCTCCAGCCCTTTTTTGCAATAGTGAACTCGGACCGTTCAACCACGATTTCTAGCACAGGCGATGCAACCCACGGTTGCGGACCACCACCCCTAGCACTGCCTCATCATGGCACATCCAATCAACCATGGGTCATCACCAATTTCGAACCAATAGGACCAAATCAAGCCAAGCAGTTCATGCACAAGTTGGGTCCGTCAATCCCATTTAAATTGAGGACTCCACAACACTTCAACCAAGCAATTCTAGCATCCAACCTTCAATTAATGTTATTTTGGTATTTGTCAATTTTTCGAGCGTCATTTTTTTTAAAAAAATTTTGTCACTTTTTTTTTTTGAATTTGTTACTTATTATGTCACTTTTTTTCGAATTGTGCTAAAAAAGTGACCGTGAATATCAAGCCCCGAAATTCCCAAAACGACATTGGAATTTACAGATTTAAATGAACAAGGCTCATTTCTCGTTGTTAGCTCATTGAAGTTGTGGGGCTTGATAAGTTGAGAACAGCAGCAAGAGAATGTGTGACTTTGCTCATTGAAAAAATTGAAATGGTGCAGGAGACTTTAGTTTTATTTAGATGAAATGTCTCGATAGAATATTTAGTCGGAACAGCCACTATGCTCACAAGGATTTGTCATGGACATGCTAATTAAGTTAAGAACATTTTATTCAAAAAAGAATTATCATTGTCAATTTCAAAAATCTGATTTTCAATTCATGGTTTACATAAATGGATGGTGTTATTTTGATGTTTGTCATTTTTTTTGAATGTCACTTTTTTTTTTTTTATCATGTCACTTTTGGAGTGTTATCACATTTTTTTTTTTTATTTTGTCACTTTTTTTGAGTTGTTTAAAAAAAAAAGCGACGATTTTTATAAAAAAAAGTATTTTTAATTTTACACAATATTTTTTACTTCCAATTTTTTTTTTTTTTTAAACACTCCTAATTTTAAATGTATTTTTGTAAGTTGCCCGATTTCCTTTATGTTTATAGCCCTTCACCGTGTTGGATACTGAGCCATGAACATTGTTGGGCTCTAATGCAACTTTTACAACGAAATTGGAGTATTTCCTATTGCCTAATAAATCGATGATGAAGCCCAAAACTCGAATCCAATAAGTTAAGAGATGCCAATTGGTCAGGATTTGTGTCCTTCATCTTTACATCTAATCAAGGATTTTTCAGGTTACGATTGGGTCCAGTGTACTATACAAGATACAATCAACAAAATGGTTGTGGATTCCATCCCAAGACATGCAGTTGAATTAAAATCTATTATTGCACCTTGTGACATTTATGTTAATAATGCATATGTACGATAGCCGATGAATTAATTTGAGGTTAATTTTCATTTTAATATAAGCCCCGTTTTTGGTGCAGGAAAAATCAAATTTTTAGTAGATTTTGATCAAATTTGATGAAATGTGATTGAAAAATTGATAAATTTGTGAATCTCATAGAATGTGTTGTTAAAATTAATTGCTGACTTAAATTTTTATCGATTTTTTAAGTTACATCCACTAGCGGACCCGCATGGGCTCATGCTGGATCAAATGACCTCACTATTTTTTGGATTTTTTTCCTCTTGCTTAAAACGTAATTTTCTGTCAAAGTAATGAGCCAACCCAATTAATTTCCCAAACCCAATGCCTAAAAAGTCCAAACCCAAATTCTATTGTAGTAGCATGTGGTCTTATTTTCGTTAATAATACATTGTTTGAAAAAAATTTCATTTTTGACTCCATAGTTGAAACTGTCTGAATTCGTCCTTGATTACATCACATAGGAGCTAAGTAATGTTTTGTAACACTACATGCTTAGCATCATTCTTTATTTCTATATTGGCATAGTCAAAGGGCATGGGAGTGGCGACCAATCCTAAAACATTTTGAAATTGAATTTTTTAATATACAAAATAAATGTATATTTGCCATTCATAACAATTTTTTCTTGCTTCCCCTTGTGAGAATTCTGACTTTACCATCACATATAAATTGGTATTATATAGCGAAAAATACTTCTTGTCCAGGCTCAAAGTCAGGGCTAAATACATGGCGCCCCCTATTGGAGGATTTGGCCCCCCCTGTATTTAGCCCAAGCTTTGAGTCTGGGCGTGCAGAACAACTGTTATATAGCCATTGTTCAATCCTGCAAAATCCTATATGGCAGTGGCACCATATGAGGAGGCCAAGAATTAGATACTGATGTAACCTGGAGAAGACTTGATTAGTCACAATTATTGATTTTAGATTGAAAAGCTAGACTTTCAATAAAAGAGTTTCTAGGAGTCAGAGTATCACTCATTACTCGTAATAATTAAATCACTCATAATTGTTTCGTACGATAGTATTCATATGATTGTAGCATGCGTGGACATAAACAAGGACCGAAAGACAAAACACAAATGTATGATATTTATCGCGTTTTCAAAAGTTCACATAAATTTATTTTCATTAATAACTTCAACTTTTAAATACAAATAAAATAATATTTATCAAGTTTAACTAGGTGAAGTTGAAGTACAATCCCAATTATTGGGTTTTATTGCTTTGTGTCTCTCTGTGTGTGCGTGTGTTATTTTACAACGTTCAAGTGTTTGGAATGAAACTGAGCACCTTATCATGATAAAGGTACTCTTAACGCACCAAATAAAGACATGGGACCGCATGTTGGTCTCTCACATAGGATTACAAATGAAAAAGAAAAACAAATAAAATGGGGTTTCACAATTGGATCTTTTACCACACAAGGTCTAAAATTGTGCATGTGCCTCTTCTTATCATCATTTGTACAATTAAATTTTGCCAGAAAATTTGTTTGAAAATGACTAACTATTAATAAAATATAAATAATATGAAGAGTTAAGTAGATGAGAAGCAAAAAATTTGTATGTCTAAATCTACCTGCAATTTTCGGTGAACAGTTAATGTGAAAAGTACTATATCATTTTCTGCGTATCGAGAAAGTCGTGAGATATGATGAATTGAAACATCCAGATACCTAACCAGAGGACCCCGGAGGGTCTTAGCGGGGTCACGTGACCCACCAACTTAATTTTTTTTTTAATAAAAAAATCAGACTAATTAAAACCATTCTGCAATTTGCTTTGATGGAAAACTTTTTTTGAGAATTTTAGTTTAATTTATTTATGTTGGGAATGAAGAATTATTTGGCAAATATGGCAGAGAAGGCATCAATTGAGGGTGTAATGAAAGTTTGATAGCTTCAAGAAAACAAGATATGCACTTGTTATAGACTACTTGTTCCCATCTTGCGAAATCTGGCCTCCCCCCAGAAGTTTTAGCCAAGCACCTCCATATTGATGTTGTAGCCAAAGATTTGAAGAGCTCCGTCTCAAGTCGTCCCTTGCCCGCTCCCTAATGCCACACTACGATGATCTCAGTGGTGCTGTCTCCAATCTTGAAGACCAAAAAATATGTCAAATTTTACGAGCCCTCTACTCTTCTAATGCGGAACTTAATAAGCTTATGGTAATGGAAGAAGGCCTAAATCTTGATAATGCATTGGCCTTGCACTATTATGCAGTTGAGAATTGCAACCGGGAAGTGGTAAAACCATTGCTTGAACTTGGTGTAGCTGATGTAAACAACTTTGCTGCCCAGCAGGCCAAAACCCCCCACTCCACATTGCCTTTGAAATGGTGTCTCTGGCCATGGTGGCTTTGAAGTTTTTAACAATTTTTTTGCAAGTTCGATCGTGTTCCCCTAATTTAAAATGTCTACGTTCGTCATTGGCTAATGTGTATAACTTTGATGGTGATAGAAGTGAATAAAGCTTTGGCTTAAAAAGGTAAAATGTGACATACTCTTGTTTAACGTCCAAAGTTTGCCACATAAGATTGTCATGCAACAAGTGGGCAATTTTGTCTAGTGGAAGAGATGGAATCCAAGCAGCGATGGATGAATAACAAAATGTAATTTTCTGTGACAATTGAGATACATTTTGAAATTCAATTATTAAGTTCCGTGATCGCTTTACCTCAATGTCAACAAAGCCAAAACAATTGAACTCTGGAAATCAAGTTCAAACTTTAAGGTTATTTGGTTATCAAACTTTTGAAATGTGTGATTTTAATCATTGAATTTTTGTTTAAAATAAATTATCACTGAAGTTATAAGGTTGAGTTAATTGCTCTAGTGGTCACCGAACTTAGGTCGATGTCTTTGATTGTGCACTAAAGTTTAAATGTCGAGTTTTGGACAGTGAACTTAGGTCCATGTCTTCAATGGCTCACTGAAGTTTAAAATGTCGAGTTTTGACCACTGAACTTTGAAAAATATTGTAAATCAGTCACTGAATTTTGAAAAATATTATACATTACTCACTATAAATTCGATATTTTTCAAAATTCAACAATCATGCTAGTGAGTAAAGTACGGCATATTTCAAAGTCTAATAGCAAAAACTCAACATTTTAAATTTCTATGAACAATCTAAGACATGGACCTAAGTTCATTGAGCAATAAAAAATATTGACTTAAGTTCAGTGACCAAAACTCAATATTTTAAACTTTAGTGACTAATCAAAGACATTGACCTAAATTTAGTTATTATTGGAACAATTAACTCTATAAAGTTATTTCATTTACGTTACTAATCACATATTCTTTCGTTGATTTTGACTAATTTAATCCTCATTGTGATTACAGATAAAGGTGTTAATTTCGCTCGTCGACTCGAGCAACCCATGACTCGACCCTAGAAAAGCCCGAGTTGAGCCCCATTTTAGGGCATCGACTCGAGTCCGACACAGGTCATTTTTTACTCGTAATGAGTCAAGCCTGAAAGATAAATAAATAAATAAATAAATAATTGCAAAACCTTATCAAAAAATAAAAAATTAGCTGCCAACTGTACAACGTAGGTAGCTACCTTGATTGGCAGTTGTATGTGCCGCCTTAACAAGGCACACTAAGACATCTTTTAGTTGTCTAAAAGGTAGGTAGCTCTATAATAAATAAATAAAAGAGTGAGCCTAGTAGGGATGGCAGTGGGTCGAGTTGAACCGGCTCGACTCGTTAACCCATGAGCTCGGCTCGGGCTAGGGTTCGGGCTCGTGGCTCGTTTTTTACGAGCCGAGCTCTGGCTCGGCTCGTTGCTCGTGGGACCAAGCCGAGCCACGAGCGGCTCGCGAACTCTTGAATTTTTATTTATTTATTTATTTATTTTTTGCAAAATTTTCAAATTTTATTGATAAAAAATTTTTTTTCCCACTTTTTGGACGAGCCGGCTCTTGGGCTCGTAGGCTCGGCGAGCTCGGGCTTGTCATTTGACCAGCCCGAACAACCCACGAGCCGAGCTTTGACGAGCCGAGCCGGCTCGATCCAATTGACATTCCTAAAGCCTAGGGTCGAGACTAAATTTTTTATTGCTCAACTTGGCTAAAGCTAGAAAAATCGAACCTTTTAAGCTCTTGCTTTCCCCTATCTAATAAGATAAGTTGTTCCCTACCAATGAAATCCAATCTGCAGGCAGCTCCAATTTCGAGTTTTGGCTCGACTTGATTCGTTAACATTCCTAATTACATGTATTTGAGTTAGATTTGATATACTTGATCAATTGATTGAACTCTAATAACATGTTTGATAATAAGAATTTGACAACACTTTTACAGTAAATACAGTCCATTAAATCTTTCATACACATTAACATGGTGGTTCTTATGCCAAATGGAGTAATACGAAATGACGGGTCCAATCTATTTATGTAAAATGAATCGCGATGGGCGGTCCAAATTATTTGAATTGGATTCTAATTATCGAATGGTCATCGTAAACAAAAGTTTTATGTCACTGCAATTATTAGTTAAACAATGCGTGATAGTATTAATCAACAGGGGCGGATCTAGAGACTTCGGACTGTGGGGTCAAAAATGAAATTTTTTTCGAACAACATATCATTAAGGAAAATAAATTCATAGGATTAATGGATTGAAGTGAATGATTAATTGGAATTTGGAACCCCAAACCCAAATAACCTTTTCAGCACCAGAAAATTTAAAAAAAAAAAAGGAAAAAAAGGGGGAAAAACTGTGGGGTCATTTGACCCCACATGACCCCGTGTGGGCCCACCCTGTTAATCAAAAAGTATTTGCATTTTCAATAACTACTCTCTGGTGGGCTCAACAATTAGATATACTCCAAAAAATGAGGAGATAGATTCTCTTAGGTTAGGTGTGAAAAAATGAAGTACGTGTCCAATTTATTAATTGCCTTCATCGGAAAAGGTTCGGATCGTTTCGTCTCTTTTGGGTATATTATTTAATTTCGCCATGTACTCTCAAATGACACCATCGATCAAGGTTAGGTGTACTGCAAAGTCAAGCATGTGTGGCCTTGGCATTCATTTTAATTTTCCAAGGAATTATTGGAGGATTAATTCGTATTAGCAAGTCAATTTATAAATGGCTTATAAATTTAGTTAAAATCAAATATCAATTTCAATTATAAATTCATAACTATTACACATTATTATTCATACATTTCGTCAGATTCATTATTCTTCTTTATAAATTGCTTATAAATTTGTAAAACAGAGGCTAAATAAATCGTTACAAAAAGTAATCTTATTTTTATGTAACTAAAGAGGAAAAAAAGAACATAGTAAAAAGTATTAGAGTCGACAATGGGAGTTACAATCTGAATAGAATTTTTCTAGAATATATAAAACTTATCTAATTATGCTAATAAATTACTAAAGATGCGTTTGATTGCAAGCATGAAATTTGTATGAAAACAAAATAAATTCTAAGTAATCCAACTGCCCAGACTTATTTTATGAAAATTGTCAATTAAATGTATTTAATTGATTTAATTTTCAACCTAGAAAATATTATACTTGTCTGATTTTTATTGGTGAGTAGATGAGAGAGAGAAAGAGAGGGTAAATTCTTTAGAAAATAAAATTATCCTTCTCTTAAAGAAAATATTTTCCTTGATTTTGAGGAAAATATGGTCACATGACTAAAAGTAGGAAAATATTTTCCATGGAACAAAAGTCAGTCAAATAGTACAAAAGTAGGAATTTAAGTGGAAAAAACACATTTTCATGAAAAATATTGGCAATCAAATACACCCTAACAGTTATTCCATAATTTTATAACATCTTCTTTGACGACTATCTGCATAATAATTGTCTTGTTAAAATTTAGTTTGACAAAAATTCAACAAAACAAAAATATCAAATGAAAGAAAAAAGGTACAATTAATTAGAAAAAATTAAAGTAATAAAATAATATCTCATTAAAATCTTATCAAAAAAATCCATTGAGACAAATTACTCTTCTTGATTTCCAACAATGCAAATTCTTGTATGGAGTAATCCACGTCTTGTAAGTCAATATTTTCAATATCACAATTCTAAAAAGTATGTTTCATGTCGTCTTGTTATAGCTTTCAAGCAATGTCATCTTCATACAATATATTAATCAATTTTTTTGTGACGTAGTCACATGATGGTCCAATAAAAAAAATAATTCTTTGTGTTATCTTTAGGAGTCTCATACACAATTTGTAACACATAAATATATATTTTAATGGTAAATGTCTTGTAAATTATGAACATTTATTATATAAAGAATATACATTATTTTTTTTAATATACTAAAAGAATTGTCTGATTAAAGTCTTTTTATGATGAAACTCGAAAAAGGTAAGAAGCAACATATGGTTGCCAAGTCAAGTGCAGAAGCAAAATATTCGATTATGGGTAGTACCAGTGAAATCATTTGGATGTGAGCTTTGTGGAAGGAATTGAAGTACTTCCGCATAATTTGGAGATACAAAATTGTTTTGTGATATCAAGCAGTCATGTATATTGAAGTATATTGCCACTTTGTTAGGACTAAGGTACAAAATAATTCAATTTGTATACCTTTTTTCAAAGTGATCAGCAATTAGCCAATAAATGCACTAGAACCTTGGCTACTGCCAAATTCTGAGAGATGTTGTCCAAGTTGTTCTCTCTTAATCTCTTTGCAACAACTTGAGGGGAGTATTGGTGGACAGATGGTTTACAATTACAAATGATGCAATATGTTATTCATTTATGTTCCTATAAGTACTAATCTCATGATAAGGTAATAACACAATGTTATATATTTACTATAGTTTTCAAATTAGCTTACCTTAACTTCAATAGTAAAATCATTTTCAACATAATGTTAAAGATAAATTAATTATATTATGAAATAATAGTTAGTATTTTTATTTTTGAAGTTATAGATGTACTTTGTTCAAAACATTAAAAATAAATAAATAAATAAATCATGCTCAAGCTATTAGACATGAATTATGGTTATTTATTTAAACTTAGTCTTTAACATATTTTTTGCGGACATAGTGTGTTCATTTTCTCATCAATAGCGTGTATGTACATAATTTTAACAAATGGGTAATGCGAGACTTAACCTTTTCTCATCAAGACCTATCACGTACATAATATTTTGCTGATATCAAGTAAATTTAATCTTCAATGACTTGTTTGGTTGTTTAATTTTTGACACTAGTAGGAAATAAAATGCATGTTTGCTACAAGTTGGTTGGGGGAGCTTTCTTGAGTATAGTTTTGTACAATTAGTGAAATCTCTATATGTTGATGATAAGAGTGTAAAATATAATATTTTTCCCTCTTAATTATTGCATTGGTGTGATTATTTGATGTTAAA